ACGGATAGATATATAGGGTATAAATAAAATGACTATTTCCTAGGGTACATTGATTCTATTAAAAACAAAATTCATTCTATCCGCAAATTTACTTTTATTCCATTGACTAAACGATGTCAGAATATTAATGTTCCTTTTATTTTGTCCCTCGACTTTATGGAGATTCGCCAATAATTTACCAGACAAGTCAATTCGCATTTATTAGTATTCAGAGGTTCTTGGAGGGTCCGTTAGTTAGTCTGAAATTTGCCTCTGTTTAAGCTGAAAGTCTTGTAAGATGTTTCTCAACGCTTTACATTAATGTTCGAATACACAGAATTGGCCCAGAGTATTGCCAAACAGAACGAGCTTCCGGCACAGCAAAGCAATCAAAGTAATTGGCAATTTTCTCTGAAGTCGATCCTTTCGTCGGCATTTCATGGTCAACGTCCTTCGTTTTCTCTCTTTCAACGGCAGAAATCGTGTATTTAAGCAGTAACTAATGGACCGTTTATTGACCGAAACACTTTTCGTCCGGTCGATCGTTGCACAAATTCGATTATCGCCCTTCCCCTCTTCATTATCACCAATTTTCTTCCGTGTATTCCAATTAATTCGATAAATGTCCGTCAACACACGTACGATCATTTATCGACAACATGTGTTTAGACGGTACGTTGTTTAAGCAAACAAGAAGAAAACAGAGAAAAATCGTTATTCTGCTCGTGATCGCAAGAATGCGAAATTAACGGAGAAATTCTATGACCATTGAAAGGATATGTATTTTTATCACTGCGAAATAAATGTCATTCTCCGAGTATTTATTTTAAAAATTGTCGAGGATGAATTAATTAAATGAATTTTATCCAATTTTATCGTATAAATTACTATCTGTCATGTACAGATTTGTATACTTTAAAGGGAAACGCGACATTTTGGGTAAAAATCTTTTTCCTTCGTGAATAAATAAAAATTGTGGATATGAAAAGTGGATTGACAAGTTAGAGGTGATTTTGTTATTTATCTATGGAGCAAATTTCGGTCAAAAATAATGAAAATTGACAGAGTTGTATATTCAGTATGTACAATACTGAGTTTCGTAGGAGAGCATTTAAAGTTTTGCAGGTATAATAAAATTCGATCTGCTGTACGGGCTCTTACAATTTTAATTATTCTAACTTTTCCAATTTCCTGAATTTCTTCTGTAAAAGTTTTATACACTATTCCTTAAATAAACATGGAGAAAAGAATCGACCTTTTATACTGCATCATTCAATTTTGTCGTCCAATTTCCCACGCTCTTGCAATAATTTTAGTTACCATAATTTTTCGATTTTCTTAATTCCTTCGTTAAAACTTTTGCAGAATATTTCTTGTACCACGCGCGTAATTAAATAAACAAATAGGAACGTCTATTTTTTCTTCGGCGAGGGATCGTAGTTCAATTTAGAAAATTGATTCAATTTGAAACTTATTTTTTTCACCTAATCCCTTAACTGCTTGTCCACTGCACGTCTTCTAACACGGTTTGTCTCTTAAAGTATCGGTGTAAGTAACGCCTCGATGCCCAGAATGTATCAGCCACGAGTACTTTACAGGGAGTAAAGTAATTGGCAATTTTCTCTTAAATCGCTGACCCATGCTCAAAGAACCGCTGTCCGCGGTTAAGTGAATAATAGACCACTTACCGATAAACTTGTCACATATTACACACTTTGAAATGATGAAAAACGATAATTCACCGGATCTCTATTCAATTAACTTCGACGTTGGCCCCTTTCACGTGCTCCCGATGCTTCGTACATCGTATAATCGTATTACGAAATTATTCGTGTCGCTAGTAATCAATGAAATCGAACAGAAATTTCTGAGAAATATTTGTGTCCCTATGTTTTGATAAAATTAGTCATCTTATACCACTGTTTATTGTAAAAAATAAATTTTTTCTGTTATCACAGTATCTATGGAAATAACGTATTCTTCGTGTGACGTGTTAAGAATCATTAATTCATATCGGTCAAATGGACTTTTGAACACTTTATGGTATTTATTGTACAATTTATACGATGTCAGTGAGTACGAGGGATTTATCATTTATATAGGATAAGTCGAAGAATATAGACAAGAATTTTGAGCATATCTCAATTACATTATATTTTACAAACTGTCAATTTTGATTTTCTTGACACCAGATATTTAATGGAAAAATATATCATCTCCAAATTTCGAAGAAATTGTGATTTTTCTGAACAGTCTGAAGAATAATGTTACTTATAAAATACATTGGAGTGATAATAATTATATAGTAAATTTTATATATAGAATATCGATGTTTTTATTTTATTTTCGCCTTTTAAATTGCGATTCAAAGCCAATTCTTTTTTCTCGTTTTTCCTTCTTCGTAAATTATTTCTTCCACATCGTTCTTCTTGTATCACCTGTATATAGATATATATACGATTTATGTAATTCATAGTAATCTTCGTTTAATGTCCAAAACGAAGGAAAGCTTACATACTGTCTGTACAAATAGTCACAATTAATTTCCAATACATGCAAGGCATTTTCAATTTCCTGGAAACCTAAAGCGTTTTGTGTTTTCGCCATGTGAGAGAAGCAAAGGAGAAAGCAAGATTATTCGATGGGAAAATTGCATTTTAATTATCCCGACGAAAAATATTGCGAAAATACCTTGTTTTTTCTACCTGAAGTACAGCTTCATTTCGACGATAGGTGTTTCTTGGAAGGATATGAAAGCTGAAACGTCTATTAGCGTTAAAGATGCAAGCGATCGATTCAGTAAAAGCGTACAAGTTCCTCGAATACGTATTCGAATAAATCAATATCCCAGTTGGCGCAGAAATGAACTCGTGTCATTGAATTCATCGTTTATCCGATTCGACACAGGTTAACTCCAATTTTTCCGTTTCGGTGAGCTTACTTGGATGTTTAAGAACATCTGTTGCACGGTACAATTCGTTTAATAGCCCCTGATGGGAAGTTAACCCTCTCGTTATGGAGGTGTATATATACGTGCCCTCGAATATCGGGTGATCGTTTCTCAAAATTGTGGAAATGGATTCTCTGTAATGTGAAAGCACTTGTACATTTATTTCTACGTGTTCTTTCATTGGTATCATTAGGTTCTTTAATTTTCGCCCTCGGATCTGTTCTATATTGGCAGAGAATGGTTTAAATTGTATATAAAAAGATTTTCAAATGTCCGAATTTTTCAATTTTTCAATTTTCAGATTTTTAGATTTTTAGATATTTAAGTTTTCATAATTTCGAATGCTTGAATCTTTTAATTTTCACATTTCCAAATTTCTAAGTTCGAGTTTTAAAATTTTTAAATTTAGGCAATTTAAATTTTCTCAATTTCGAATATTTGAATTTCTGAATTTTCTAATTTTAGAATTTCGATATTTTAGAGTTTAAGGAATTTTAATTCTCAGAATTTCGAATATTTGAGTTTCTAAATTTTCTAATTTTAGAATTTCAGTATTTTCGAGTTTAGGGAATTTTAATTCTCAGAATTTCGAATATTTGAATTTCTAAATTTTCTAATTTTCGAGGTTAGGGAATTTTTACACTTGCGAATTTCCAGGTTTGAGTCTTCAAATTTTCAAATTTAGGGAATTTCAATCTTCTAATTTTTGAATTTCGACAATTGCGAATTTCCAGGTTCGAGCCTTCAAATTTTCAAATTTAGGGAATTTAAATTTTTTAATTTTTTAATTTTTGCACTTGTAGATTTCAAAGTTTGAGGTTTTAACTTTTCCAGTTCAGAAATTTCAATTTTCTAAATTTATTTTTCATTGTTCACATTATCTATTTATTAGTCACAGTAAAGTCAATTAGGAATACTTATGATCACCTCTATCTAAACTGGACTTGAAAAATCCATGATAGAAATATATGGTAATGCGGAACGAGAGTCTTAGCGTATGCGATCTGAGTGAAATTGATTATCTTCAGCTCCTCACGAAGTAATTGAGCGGAAAGTAGTTGAGTTGGCGTAGCAATATTTAAAAAGATGCAGACAGAATGCATTTAAAGCACCGAATTTCAAGTGCAGGAAAGGAGCGAATGTCTCGCAACCTTCGATTTGACTTGCAGTGGCGGTCCAGTCACGATTCGATCACCGTTGAAATGTCATTCACTGCAACTGAAACGTGACTGGAACATGAACAGTATCGTACTTTCCTGGATTCAGGAAACACTAAACAGTGATTGAACTGTGACTGTACTACGGCTCGGTCGTTAATACGAATTAAACTTTAACGCGATGCAACAATTGCTCAGGTCATTAGACATACCAGTCTCTAATAATCTTCACCGTGCTTACCTCTATCAATCCATATCCATTTCACACGAATCCCATTCGGAGAATTTACCACTGTAATTTCATTTCTTCTCGCATAATGCACAAAGCTCATCAAAAATGTCCGTTCGCAAAATATTAAAAAATTTTTTCCAGTCTTCGCGTGAAACGACGAAAACGGAAAATGAACGTTTCCATTGCTTTCACGTAGGCAACAAGTAATTTGCGAAAAACTTTTTTATTGTTTCAGCGGAATTCGTTTGATGTTTTGTCTATTGTACCTGGTAATTTCTGATCGTTTGTTGGTCGCCATTCCACCGACTCTCCGATTCCGTATCGCGAAACATGATCGTACATTTTTCTCTTTGTTCATGCTGTCGGTATGTTTTTTTTGAAATGGTAAAAACATCACCTTTCTGTTGTCCCGAGGTTTATTTTGTGTTAGGCTTTATAACGAACGGACATAGGTATTGGTTTCATTGAATATCGTACCATTTTAACGCGTGGAACAAAAAGAGATAGTTGGACGGAAGTCGTATAAAAATTTCTAGAATTTCGACGAAATGAAAAACCGAGTCTACGAGAGATTAATAACAGAGATTAATTCAAAGCTTTACCGTAGCATATATTTCCTTATATTACTATAATTCTTAAGAGAAGCTCTTCAACTAATCGTTTATTTTATTTTTGATTTCAGGGACTACTACTATGATAGGTGAGTGCGAATTGTGTGGACATGCACAGTTTCGATGAGTTACTGATTTTAAAAATACGGTGGTGTGCGGTACTCGGGTATGTAATATGAAAATTCTTTTTCCAAATATTTTCCGATATAACTATATTCCCCATATTCTCGTTTGATAAAAATCAACGATAAACGCTAGTTAACGAAAATTTAATTACCTGCTTAATTAAAAATTTAGAAGGATAAATAGAAACAATTGTGATTTTAAGATATCATTTTCATCGTTTAAAGGAAAGGAAATTTCTATGCAGCTGATTTTTTCATCAAAAAGTGAAGTTAAGCTGATTTTATAACTATATTCCCCATATTCTCGTTTGATAAAAATCAACGATAAACGTTAGTTAATGAAAATTTTATTAATTGCTTAATTAAAAATTTAGAACGATAAATAGGAACAAATGGGATTTTAAGATATCATTATCATCGTTTAAAGTAAAGGAAATTTCTATGCAGCTGATTTTCTCATCGAAAAATGAATTTAAGTTGATTTTATAACTATATTCCCTATTTTCCCGTTTGATAAAAAGCAGCGATAAACGCTAGTTAACGAAAATTTAATTACCTGCTTAATTAAAAATTTAGAAGGATAAATAGAAACAAATGGGCTTTTAAGATATCATTATCATCGTTTAAAGGAAAGGAAATTTCTATGCAGCTGATTTTCTCATCGAAAGGTGAAGTTAAGCTGATTTTCGTTCATATAAAATAATGCTTCCAAATCAGCCGAGTGTGTGGAGGGCTAGGTGTCCCGAGTGTGCGTGCAGTTTTGAAAAGCAGGCACATAATTTGCCGTCGATGCTGGAATTATAACTACCAGACCGTAAATCATAATTATTATCTCGGCCCGTTTCCCGAATGTTTTACTTCTGCCTCGCGTATGCGATACGCAAGAGGAATATCAGCAACAATATTGAAGTTTATTAATTTATTTTTCCATATCGTTTCGCGTTGATGCATGAACGCATTTATTACCACCCGGAATCGATTAAACCTGCTGGAATTCAAATTCGAGCAGCAACGACTACCCGCGAATTTTTACCGGCTTAATAATCGACTTTATTTCCATTTTTCTTTCGTAATGATAATCCAGCGTTATTTTCGTATTCGTCGGAAATTCAAACAACGACGAGTATGCGCGAATTTTCATTCGATCTAATACGCGACACCGTTTTCATTTTTCCTCTTACTTTTCGTTTTCTTCTTTTCCCTCTCCCCGATATTTCCCCCGTTAATCGTGGCGTGAAAAAACAATAAAGAAGGTAATTTTTCAGTTAGTCACATGGACGCGTCATCGCTTTATTTCTAGCGGCAAATTGTTTGTTACCACGGCTCGCGTGGCACAATACGTTCACCGCGATTAATATTCTATTAACGTTAATTGGTATGCGGATTTATTCGATCGCCTCTGAAAGGTGCAGACGTAGCAAACGTCAGACCGTGAAATCGCCGGTAACGAGTGAATTTTATTCATAAGTATAAATTAAAACTTCGACGCTCGTTTAATCCAGGTCGCGCGTGCTCGTTCGTTTCTTCTCCCTTTTTTATCGGCAGCGAAAAATTAAAAACGAACCACAAACGGTGGAAAGAGGGAAATAAAATAAAAGGGAGAAATAGAAAACACAGGAAAGAAAAGAATATCCAGAAAATATGAGAAGAGAACGACCGACCCTAAAGGGTTTAGCCGCGAAGTTGGAATGGAAAATCGCATTCGAATGAACTCGGGGGAAGATTTAACTCCGGCAAGATCTTGTGTGTATCGTCGTCAAAGGGGAACTTTCCAGGCTGTCCATTTAAAAGCCCGCGGTGAAATTCTTAAAAGCGCTAAGAAGCACTACTTTCTAATACCGAAATACTGCGACTACCCCGACACGTGTGTGTATATATGTATGCGTGTGTGTGCTTGCTCTGTAAGTAAAAGCTATTTCCTCGATCCGGGCCAACGCGATTTTTTAAGTCAGCGAGAAAGGTAACCCGGTTAAATAAAACATTACGAAATCAAGACGCGTGCAGAGCGGCGACAGAAGCTCGATGTAAGAGCTTCCAGGACGCGAGCTTGGCGAGAGATCCTCTCTGGTCGAAGAATTTTTCATATTTATCGTATCGGCAGCCAGAGACGTCGGCGTACCGCGACAAATCAGAGATCCGCCTTCTTGAATGGCGGCAAACGAAGCGTGCAGGGTTAATTAGTCGACGAGCAAACACCAGCGACAGGATACATTAACACTTAATTACTCGCCGAGTACACGCGATCGCTCTTTCCTTTTTTTCACCCTCTCCTGCCCTCTTCCGCCTTCACTCCCGCCATTTTTCCACCCTCGAGGTATTTCTCCAATTAATCGCCGGCTCGGTCGCCCAAGGAGCGAACAAGGACCGGGCTGATTGAATAGAGAGAACTTAAAGAGGCCATGCACGTGCGATTATCAAAGAACGGTACACGCCAACGTTATTATGCTTACGTGACCGTAGATAATAATTATTACAGCCCGACCGCGGCGCGCTGCTGACCCTTCTCGCGTATATTTCACCTAACAGCACGCGGCGAGTCGGCTGAAACGGCATTTTTCTCTTATTTGTTCGCACCCTCGCGTCGTCTGAATTTCCGTATAATTTCGGATCCGCTCGTGACGCGACCGGCGAACCAAGGCGAATCGCCGGCTATTTATCGCGCGATAAATCCCCAGGTTGCCGGATATATCGATTTTATCGCCGAATATTTCCGGTGGACAAATTTTTGTAGGAAACGAGATCAATTAAGCCACGTCCGAAAGGTATTTAGATCCCCCCACCGTTCTATTTCCACTCGAATATATTTCCCAAACGTCAAAGTGTCTTCAAAGCGACCGAACGATCTCCGTAAAATCGCGCAGTTGGTATCCCGTGAACCTCGAATTTATAGCGAACGCTGCTCCGCGTGGATAATCTTTGCGTCGACGAAATATTGGGGAAAAAGGGGGTGGAAAAGTCGCATCGAAAGGATGTTGTAATAAACGGAATTTGTGCTTTTAGTTATCATCGATGAACCTATTTTCAATTTTAACCTACGTGTTTCGAAATTTTTATCAAATTGGTGGTCAATTAACATCAACGTAACATCCATGCCAGGCCATTTTTGCCCGACATGATCCCCAGGCCAGCTGTTTTTGACTAAAAATTGATATTTTGATTTTGCAAAATTTAATTTGTCATAAAATATGTTTTCAGCGCATTAAATAAATATACCAAATATTAAATGTACCATTTATGGTACACGTGGGCTGCAGGTCAAGGTAACGTGGCACGAATGTGTTAAGAAAATTCGCATATACTGGAGCTTTCGTGTGTACGCTATCATACCAATATTTTGAACATCTATGACATCGTCAATCAAAAGGAACAGATGTTTTTCGAGCTCCCTGATATAATTTATCTGTCAACTTTCATCAGTATCTATTGACACCATGTAACACATAAACCGCTAGCTAATGACATAACATTCTTAATGACAGAAAGACATTGGAACCTCTAGTCTAATACTCTGGACAGACCTATTTTTCATTTTTCTAGAATGCACAGAAGCGACTGGAAGCTTCGTGGACTCTGGACAAACGAATAATTCGGCCGCATTCACGCGTAATTTCGACCTAATAACGCGACCACGATCCACCGCGTTCTTTTCATCGCGATCGAGCATCGAAATCGATAAATGCAGATGTACCAGAGTGGAACGCAGTGGCCATCAGAGGTAGCCATGGTAGCGAGGTGGAGGAATCGAACGAAAGGTCGGAGGACACACGCGGTGGCCTCGCAACCGGTACCCCGGTCCTTTTGCTTTAATTGTTGCGATTCAGAGACAGTTCGTGACCGGCCTGGAGAAAGAGCGATGCCGGTGCAAAAGCGGAATATGCCGGGCCGAATAAAAGTCATAAGCTCAGGTGAGGCCGTTGCCGGGCAGCCGCGTGGAACGGAATTATAACCGTGGGCTGGAAAAACATGCACGGGTCCGTGGCGCGCCCTTTTCTTTCGGCCAAACACAACGATAAACCACGTGACGTCGCTGCTTTTCGTTGCTTTATTAATTCTTCTAGCGCAACGGTGTACGAGGCCGCACGACCTCTCGTTCTTTCCTCCCTCCCCCCTTTTTTCTTTTATTTTCCTTCCCCTTTTTCCTTTTTCAATTTTTTTTTTCTTCTTTTTTTCATTTTTTTCCCTCCTTTTTTGTGGCTAGCGAGAGCACTGTTTTCCGACGGACTTTATATTCCATCCTTGTGCCCTGCTTTAAATATGCAACATGCGCGCCATAGAAAACACACATCGTGTAACGCACACGGGCCATCCAAACGCCACGAGCGACACGCGTACACGCCGCGCGGAACATTGTCCGTCGACTATAAAGGAATTGATTGCTTTTCGTGTATTTTTTTTTTCTTTTTTTCTTTTTCTTTTTATTATTTCATATGTTTCCTTCCTTTTTCATTATTTCGCCCATTTATCGTCACATCTCGTCCCGTGACCCCCACCACCTGCCGAATTCACTTTTGTACACGCGTTTCCCTTTTTCATGGCGAACTCTGTCGAGTACTTGCCGGCAATTTTTGACCAACTTTTTTCATGGGAATCGCCGTGTCGCGCTCTGCCTGAACCGTGACGAGGAATTCCGGGATTGGAATAACGACGGGTAAAGAAGTCCGCTGAAATGGAAACACCTTGAGGATTCGAGCGTTCGACTCAACTTTCTTGCTTGTCGCGAACGCGGTTCTGTTCTCGGTCCCGACGAAGATACAGCGGTGATTTGTGGCCGGGAAATAGTATTTCGAGATCACTTTAATGGTTATCTGCTCCGCGTAGTAATTCCCGACATGGATTTGAGGAACAACGATCATTGTGTTCATTAGAGAGGTATTATTTTTGGCGGGTCATGTTTTCACTTGAGTTTTGTAGGTAGTGCTTTATCGAGCGAGGAAAATGACGCGTTGTATTTTATATTTTTCACG